GGTTTGGTTTTCAACCGGATTAAAACCCCCCCAAGTCCAGGCACCTCAGCCAAGATTGGAGAATCCAGATCTACTCTACTCCGGTAGGCCAATAATCGAATCTCGAACTCAAGTTATCCAGGCCACCGCTCTCGCTAAATACATACGCAGAAAAGGGGGAAACAACGCTACAAGGCATCAGTCGGCAAATACTAAAAAATAAACATGAGTGATGTTCGTAAACTGCATTCCGAAAGCCAAACCGCTCCCCCCACCCACCACAATACTAACCATGCTTACACTGAAATGAATCCAGAAAAACGCTCCTCCCTCCTACCCACCGCCTGCCCACCAAGATGCAGGGCCCTATGCACCACCGCAAGGCCAGTATGGCCATCCCTCTGCAGCTGCAGACTACTACAATCAACCCCAACAATACGGTCCACCACCAGGTCAATATTATCCACCACAACAAGGTTACCCGCAACAGGGTTACCCGCAACAACCCATGTATTATGCACCCCAGCCTCAAGGCCACTATGTTGACAACAGAGACAGCAGTCGGGGCACGGGAGGCGGCATCTGTGCCGGTATATTAGCTGGCCTGGCCTGCTGCTGCTGCTTGGATATTCTCTTTTAAATATTTCCTAAGAATCCCAGACGGTATACAAATCGTTACGTGTATATTTGGAGGTTTTGTCTTGCTGGGTTTTAATTATATCCGTCACAAGCTAGAACTCTTGAGAGCGGTGCGGGATCCATTCGGATGCCGCTCGTGTAGAGCTCCCTCTCGTACCGTCATTGGAGACTTTCCACTTACGCTTGTTCCCTTTGTGTCTTGTTTGATTTGTTTCTAGGCGCGGAAATAGTTCATATGCATCGGTTGTCCTGTTTATATGCTATTTTCTGTTTTCCCCCTCTTCTTTTTGTTCTTATCTCTACGTTTCTCTTCGCTTTTAATCTGTCCATTGCGTCCTTACCTGTATCTTTTATCAATACAATTTTATTACTTTGCGTCGAGCAATTTTTTCTTTTGGTTGAATTTCTTTTCGTATGATAGTACCTCATTTTATGAATCGTTAACTATATATTTTTGAAATAGGTTAATTGTTTTGTGAATATATATCTAAGTTCTATAGCTCGAAACAACCTCCGTTTTGTGTTTATGAGGCATATGTGACACTCCCCTACCCCAAGTTGCCCACAATCCCAGGACAGGCAAATAGATACAGTCCAAGCATTATGTGAACAAGTAGAACTTGTCCATCTCTCCCAGTCGAACGTCACCGACACATCCTCTTCGCCATTATGCAAACCAAATTTACGTTTCCAGTTTAATCAATTAATGCATATATCCCTGTCGAATTATGAAGGGAGAATATAAAACTAAACTAACGGAAAAGAACGAGAAACGCAAGCCAAAATAAATCAAGAAGAAAAATAAAACAAAGAAAATGACAACTGATAAATATCACATCATAGCGTTCCATCTGCTTCCTCATCTGCTTCCCAACCAGCCGCACACATGGCAACGTCTCTATCGCCGTGGTATTGCCAGGGTCATTCTCAAATCCCTTATAAACCACTTTGCTAACCTCCCCAGTCTCCAAATATACGGTGCCGCAGGTATATTCACCTTTCTGAATTAGCTTCATCATTGATGCTGCAATGAGCTCGGGTCTCAGCATCTGCGCCCTGTCAGGCTGGTAGCATGATAGCAATTCCCCCTCATCGTTCCAGATAGGGGTATCAACGATGCTTTGTTTTCCAAGTCCAAGTTAGCAATCAGAAAAAAAAGGACGAGCAAAAAAGTGAAAAAAAGATAGAAAAGAAATATAAATATTTAAATATATACATACCCTGGACAGATCCCCACAACCCTTGATCCCAAACTGCTGCTCTGCAACGCTCATGGATCTCACAAACCCCACAATCGCATGCTTCGCCGCAGCATACAACGGCTTACTAACCACTCCATCCAATCCGGCAATGGAGGATATGAGCAACACAACCCCCTTTTTCTTATGTCCCAGCAGCGCGCGCATCGCCATGCGCGTGAATTTTATCGGATGCGTTACGTTGATGTCCAGCGTTGCGTAGCGGTCTTCTTCCTGCTCGCGGTCGAGCCAAAAATTAGAGCGTGGCTAATATATATACTATGTAAGTTATGTTATAGTTGCTTGTTTGTTGGTCCGTTTGGTAGATATAAACAATCCCCCTATTCACAACCCCTTTCCCTCCACCCGTTTCTTTTTCTTTTTCTTTTTCTTTTTTTGGGCCACCGACTTTGATCCCTTTGGGTCCCGAGAGAAATATGGAATGGGAAAATGGGCGGGGAGAATCACTGGGTAGGGTACTTTTCTTTTGAATAACCGAGAAATTAACGGAATTAGCACCGAAGTAGCCGCCTCGTGAGAAACAGTGGTTGTCTATATCCGTTGGGCAGGGGATTCACCGGCAGTAGTTCATGTTGGTTATAGGAGTCACGCAACGGAACGAACACGGGAGGGATGGCCTGGAGGGTAAAGGTTGTAACTGGGTATATTCTGTTTATTAAAATAATCCGAGAGAGAAGAGCAACGAGACCAATATTAAAACAACTTGGAAATAATAATGGATAAAAATTTTATATAACGTTTATATTAGAGAAGAAAGAAAAAAAGGTAATACAAGATGCTAAAGGAAAGAGGGGAGAAGGAAAGAAATGATAGATCAATGGAAAAAGAAGTAGGCTCCTTGATCATGTCAAGAAAGCTGGGGAAAATAAAATCTATCTACATATATAAAGTGTATATAGACAGAGCCTTCGGGGAATATATCAACGTAGGTATCGAGATCGTCAGAAAAGAAAATAATGACGAAACCAGGAAAGAGTCAACAATCCATCACTTCCATCTTACTATTTTTTTTCCCTTTGCATGAAATGAAGACCGTCAAAACAGTAGACCGAGCTAATTTTATTATTTTGGGGGTTGAAAAATAGAAAATGGTTAGTGGCGGAACATATACATATCCAAGAATTGGAAGGAAAATTCCAAGGACGAACTGTGTCCATTAAGTTCGAACCAGGGACTGTTCCACGGTGTTGTCCAGGTATGATGTTTGCGACGCTTAAGCTTCAAGGGACGTTTTCTGAAGCTCTTCAGCTGCATCGGCAACCGCGTCCTTTTCCTGCTTAAGCTCTGCAGTTGCGGGCACCTTTCCATTGGCACCTTCGTTCTGGAGAGCAGGCTTGCGTGCAGTATCTGTCGTTCGCTTATCTTTACCGCTCGTATCCTCCTCATCGAGGCGGTCGATTTCTTCCTGGGCTTTCTTGATGTTCTAGCGAAAAGAAAAGTTAACAGTTAATTTTTCGCCGCATGATGGGTGTATCACTGAAAATGTTCCAAAACCTTACCTCCGCAGTCTTTGAGGCCTGCTGGGCCTTCCAGTTAGTGATTTTCTCGGCTAGTTTTGTAATAAGGGCCGGAACATCTGCCTGGCTCATTGGGGGGTCTGCTTTGACGCTTGCCAAATCTTCGATAACACCAAAGGAAAGGTTGAATTGAGCAGGAGATGGAGAGCTCGCCGCCAAATTCTTCTTGCCCTTCTTGCCCTTCTTTCCGCCAGTGCCTCCCATGAAATAATTTTCTTCTCGATCAACTTTCCTTATGATCTTGACACCCTTAAGATCAGATGCGTCGACAGTGCGTCCCACTTCGGCACGGTAGCCACTAAGTTGTCCCTTCTTGTCTTTTTCCAGGCCAAGAGCAGAGAAATCATACGAGGGATCGAAGTGGCGGATGAGGCCCTGGGCAATTAGGATCTCATCCGTGTAGGCTGGTCGGGAAGCTTCTTCTAGCTTTTTATCAGCAATCTTCTTCCTTTTCTCCCGCTCATATGACTCTCGTTCAGCCTTTTGGCGTTCTCGACGAATGCGGTAAAGTTCATCTTCGTACTCCTTATATGCTCTGCGGGCTTTGTAGTAGTTATCTTTGATTTCTCTGACTGCACTGTACGCCTTTTGCTGCTCGCCATAAATCTTGGTGCGCTCGTCCCGAAGAGCGTTCAAGTTCTTAAAAGCAGAGTCTTGCTCAGCCTTCATGGCATCTAGTTCTTGTTGGATCGCGGAGTATCTATCACTCAAGGCCTTGGCCTCTGGGTTGTCCAGGGACTTCTTTAATTCATGAAGCTGTGACTTCAAGTTATCGATGAATTTTTGAGACTCCTCAAATCCAGAGAAGCCTTTTCGCTGCTTCCTGAGGTTTGAAATCTCAGCGAGGTTTTTCTTCTCGTCAACCAACTTCATGACGCCTGAATCAACCTGCTTTTCAAGCCTTTGGATTTCCTTGTCGATTTCATCAACATTTTTAAAGGAGACACGGGAACGCGACGCCTTTTGTTCAGCAACACGAGATTTGATACTAGCCTCAAGTGCGTTGATTTTTTCCTGAAGACTGTTTCGAGAAGCTTTGAAACCCTGCTGTTGCTGACGAATTGAAGAAAGTTCAGCTCGTAATTCTTGAGCCCTCTTAGCAGTTGGGGAATCTTGGTTGTTTGGTTTGGCCGAGTTGATTTTGGCCTTCACCTCTTCCTTTATTGAATCGTCCATCGTCAGTATCAATCGGGAGAATGTGCAGCTGTGTACTAAATAGGAGGTTAGACGAGGTCCAAACCAATACATACCATTCTTTTCTGGATAGCGGCCAATTCATTCTCCGCACGAGCCAGATCAGCCTTGTAGACCTCTTCGCTGGGGTTCTCAGGCCTTGTCTTGAGCCCATCCGACTTAGCTGAGGATTTGGTGTCGGCGGCCATTGTGGACAAATGTGACGGACACAACCGAGGTAGATCGCGCCCCAATGGATTACGTAGAACAAAGTACGGTTTTCCGATGGCTAGGTGGATTGGAGTATAAAAGAAGGGAGGGTAAGCCTGGAAACGAAGAATGAAATCAGAGCGCAACAGGCGATATTAATGACAGGGTGGCCGATTGGAGAACTTGTGGAAGAAAAATATCGACGCCGGCGAATCTCAGTGCAGTGTGGTCCGTGCGTCCAGCCAAACAACTCCAATCTGTTTTTCGAACTTACCAACCACAGGAAAAAAAAAAAAAAAAATCAGAGACAGCGACAATTTCCAACAACAACATCGCACTCCGCTTAAATTTCATTGCTTGCCTTCTCCCTGCAATTTACTGCCGCACTTACTCTGTAATTTTCCATTTCCTCCCGAGCTAAACAGCTTCCTGCGCAACTCATTCAACAAGTGTGGCTCAGATGGCGGATGAAGAATACTCGAGGGCGTCTGCCGACGCGGATCGTGAGATGACGAGGCTCTGGCGCACATGGAGAACGGTTTTTGAGATGCTGGCAGATCGGGTATAGCTTATTCCTATCTCGCGCCGCCATATTTGCAGCTGCTGATCTATTTCGGGGCGTTGTGTTTCAGGGCTATGAGGTGACCGAAGAAGAGATAAAAATTTCTCTCGACGAGTTCAGGACGAGATATTCAGACGCTCTTGGATTTCCTGAGTATGTGAGACATATGTCCCCACGCTATGTCAACTTTTAGCTATTCCTGCACACGGTACTGATCGTCTCGGTTTGTGGTGGACAGTCGCAATAAGATGAAAATTAGCGCCCGCCCTTCGCAGACAATGATGGACAAATACACTCCCCTCCCCACAGCTTCAAAACCAAACCCAGTCCCCGAATGCGGCACTATTTACGTCGAGTTTTGCGCCGATATGCAGAGCGTCGGAACAAAACAGATTCGTGCATTTAACCATTTCATCGACGAACAAAACTATCACACTGGTATCTTCGTTAGCCAAACGCCAATATCTCCGTCTGCCATGCGAGTACTCAATAGCATACCGGGCCGTTTCTGTGAACACTTTCAGGAACAGGAACTTCTAGTCAATATTACACATCACGAACTAGTACCGAAGCACGTTCTTCTTAGCGCGGAGGAGAAGAAACGGCTCCTGCAGCGATATCGGTTAAAAGAATCCCAGCTTCCGCGTATCCAGAGCGGAGACCCCGTGGCGAAATACCTAGGTTTGCGACGAGGACAAGTTGTGAAGATCATCAGAAGGAGTGAAACCGCTGGACGATATGCCAGTTATCGCTGGGTTACTTAAAACGGCGAATCCATGTCTTGATGTGGGATTAATATATGAATTCGTATTTTATAAATGAACACAGAAACACCGGACGTCTCCACATTGGTATACTGCCTCTATTCAGCTATTCTTAAGGATGAACGGGACAGCTAAATATGCGGACCTTGCTACTTGCTCACTACAGCTCAATGATAAAGAATCATTAGGAGGGGAGAGTAGATGGACCGTCCCACGAAACATCACCCTTGTACTCACTGTCAAATCACTGTATACCATCGATCCCTTGGCCGCAGTTGCAAGTTCCTCCTCACTTCGGTTATCTTCTTGCTTTATTCCCAATTTTATTTACAGTGAGCAGAATGGCGTACGGTGCAGGCAAGGAAGCTTTGTTTGATATGTTTTCCTTGAGTTTTTGTTCTTAGTTATATCTCTAACGTTTGGGCGTGTAAGCTACGCTATTTCTGTTTCTTTTGGCTCAGTTTTCGGATTGTAAAATTGCCTCGATTGAAACTGGGTGTTTTACACAAGAATGAAGGCCTGCAAAGGAGTTCCTGATTCTGATTTCTGGCAGTGACAATGAATGGATGCAACAGATTACGCGGATCCAAGGCAGGTTGAAAAGGGAAGAAATAATTACGGAGAATAACAGGAAAATGAGACACAGATGGTTGTCATTGGCATCCTTCGCAGTTGTGTTCTTTGTTCGCTACTATTTCACCTAGAAAAACACAACTAAAACCTGAAGCAATCAGTTTGAACATACTTACAAGCAATCCATTGCATGTAGTCGATTAGATTTGAATACCCTTCATATGTGTAGTTCCAACGAATTACCAGTTCACTGAGGCAGGATCAAGGCGATACGCGATTGTGGCTGAACCTTACCTCAAACTACAGATGTACACTAACCGGATTCATCATAAATATAGATCTCTCCTCAACCTTTTAATAAAACAAATAGGGCGAATATCTATTGAAGCTGTCCACTTTGACAAGTCAATAAGACAAAGATGTGTGGCATCAAGGTTGAGAAGTTTAAATTGTCTGCTGACAGGTGAAAAATGCCTGCCTAAGTTAAATACATTGTCACTTGCTGCCAACAATGTCGATCGACGACCGAACTGTCTTCACAGTTACATCAAATGGCAATATGTCGCTACATTTGGATGGGCGTTACGTGATATCAAAGAGCTTTATAAGGGCCGCTATGTGGCACGAGATAAACCCTTCTATCAACAGGATAAATATCGATAATATTATCTCTGGGCAATCCTCGCTTTCACCTCTGTTGGCACTCTTAGCGGCTCCGGAATTGAAAAATAACATGCTCTCCTTTTGCAAAGCTTTTCCTTCCGGAACTGTCTACTGGTCTGATTCATGCTGCATATTACGACTCATGCATTATACCAAGACCTATCTCAGCCGCTCTGGATGGGAAATAACCGACTGGCACCGAGTAACAAAGGAACAAGCACTGTTGTATAACGATGAATATCAACTTATCCGTCCTGCTATATAATCAACCTATCAGAGGTCATCACATGGTTACCCCATTACCCCACCGTCACATACCAAAATTCAGCGTCTACAAGCAGCAAATTGATAGAATATCGCAAAGCTCAATTACCTCAAGAACACCCCTTACTTGCTGATTTGAATGGTTTTGGGAAAAGTTCTGGTATGAGAACCAGTTCAATTCGACAAGCTACTCTGGTTTTGCCGTGGGTAACTCATATGAACATGAATCCTGGTTGTCAACTGCATTACCATGATCATGGAATTTATCATGCTTAAAAAAACCATGCCCTGGAAAAGTTTCGGCATTCTATGTAGCTGGGATGGCGTGCATTATGTTAACAAATTCCGTATCCTTAGGACTTCTTTCCTTTCCAGTTTAACAGGGCTTTTCTTTCGTCGCCTTAACGTTGGAACTTCCAAGTGGTACATAAATTTTACTTCAATACTTTCCCTAACCCGCTCGGTTTCGCCTTAAGGTTCCCCACCCTTCGTTTGGTTCTCCCTATGCTTCCCCAATATGTTATGTCCTGTGAAACATAACTCACGGGCAATGTGAAACGGTGTCACCTTTTTCGACTGGGCATGTTCTTTGAATAATCCATGCGCCTTGTTCATTTTTCGAGCTGGAATATCTCAAATGCCCACACTACACTGGGACAAGGGGGTTTGGGAGATATTTGAGGACAACTACTGAAAAATCATTTTTTGCGGGAAGGAAAACCCCGTAACGCGCACTAATCCTAGTGCCGCTTCGTGAAGCTGATCAGGGTGAGGCTTAAAATACCATTGGCGCTCTGATTTTCTGCCGACAAGATCTGGTGCTGACGGATGCTATACCGAGGATCGTTACTCGAATGTATTCGAGCAGTGCGCCTGACGAGCTGACCAGATGGGATGTGATACCCACTCTCCTGGTTAGCTGGTGGTGTACTGGATGTTCCCTCGCTATTATTTTTGTCCGAGTCATCGGCCGGTATCTTCGAACTCAAGTCCTTTTCCCAGAAGACTGGATTATGCTCGCGAGTGTCATTCCATTGCTTATTCGTATGGGACTCGTCCATTTGGTTCTGATTTACGGCACGAACAACGTAATTGCCACAAATCTTTCAGACATTCAGATTCACCAGCGGGAGATTGGAAGCGGGCTGGTTTTGGGAGCAAGAATATTCTATTCACTCTTGTAAGATCTCAGCAATCTCTCATGAGTATTTCTTCGCCGCTACTCCTGCAAACTCAATTCCGCTTCAAAAGTAGTTTCTCAGCTAATTTCCAAGTTCCCAGCATCTGGACTGCCAAATATACAATCACTGAATTCCTTGCGCGACTCACCGCGCAGACTTGGCGACATTCCTTTCAGTTGATGTTGAATTTTATCCGCATTTTTCTTGTGGCTACATTTGCTGCAGTGGCAATCTCTACATTAGCGGAGTGCCAACCATTCCACCACTACTGGCAGGTCAATCCAATGCCTGAATCCAAATGCCGGCAGGGATATGCGCACCTGGTGGCCATGGGTGCCTGCGATGCCGCAACAGATATGCTGCTTGTCGCTTTCCCAATTCCTATCATCGCTGTTTCGACGATGCCTATCTTTCGAAAATTAGCTCTCACTCTCCTCTTCGCCTTATCCCTCATTCTTGTTGTAATTACCTGTTATCGTGTACCAGCAGTGATTCAACGTCAGGGAAACCAACAATACCGCTCCCTATTTGCCTCTCTCGAAATGTAGTCGCC